TGTCCTCTTGGTAATAATTGCAGGTTTAATTTCATAGTTTGGTTTTACAGTGTATTTACCAACCATATCAACTAAATTTTGAAATTGATCAAACTTTAAAAAAAAAATTGAAAGCGGTTACTGTGCTTATGTGTACGTGTATATCCAGTTCTAGACTATTTGTGCAGTCAAGGCTAATTTGAAATTCAGCCATTATGTATTTTAATTACTCATATTTGGTGACAAATTTGATGTAGTTCCCTGTTTTGAGTGGCTGTTATCATATTTCTGCAGGTATCTCATTTGGATACTACATGTAGTTATACTAGTCACTCAATACATCTAAAGGAGCTATTGGTTTGTGTGTGATACACCCTTTCCCAATCACTTCAAATCAGTTTCTCTCCCAGTGCAATCGCTTGACCGGAGCTCTACTGAATCTTTATCGTTGATTCTTCCCTTTAAACTCTTGTCTCTAGTATTCTCAATGGGAAAGCCAAGTGGTCAGCTCAGCTTGAGAGAGGTTTGAGCGATAGCCCAGAGGCCCAATTTAAGGATTTCTGTCTCAATGTTTTTATTCTAAAATCAAGTACGACATTGACAAAAATACACTTTAGATTCACATGGAACAACACAGACCATAATCATTAAAATATTACTGTGATTGTAGGTTCAGGGACTGTTTGACCCTTTATCAAATGGAATTGATATGCCTGGGGGTGTTTCACAAAGATCCTAAGTTAATTTTATCTCTAAGTTAGACTTAACAATTGTGGAAAGCCGTTAGCATCTCTGAAAATATGGTGTACAAGTTATTTTAAAGGGCATAACATGTTGATTCAAATCATTCATATTTTCTTTTATCAAGGAGATTTCATGTTCTTGATGTGAAATTAATGAAAAGTCTAAAATTCTAGAATCTTTGCCTTTGAATAATTTTTTTCTAAAGGCTACAAATGGTTCTTCATAATGTTTAAGTCCAACTTAGAGTTAAGGTCGAGTTAGGATCTTTGTGAAACACCCCTCATGTCTTGTGTATGCCCTGCTATACTGTGATTCTTATGAGGCACTTCTAAAATCTAAATAAAGATTTATGATTGAAGATTCTTCTTTTCTGAAATGCCATTAAAAGGGCTAATGTGTACAGAGGATGCTGAGCTAGCCAGACAGCCAGTCACCCTCAGGCTGTTGTATTAACTCAAACCTCTACATGAAATTAGACACATATTCAAAGGCCTGTTTTCATCAGACCAAGTTGGCCATATAGCCCGCTCTTTTGTTACAAATCACGTTTTCATCAGCTCGAGCTCGAGCTCAAGAAATACGCTCAGTGTTCACGCATAGTGCGAGTCTTTGGGCTAGTGAAGACGGACCACAAATGGCAGGCTATTTTGCAAACTAGCCCAAGATATCTTGGGAAGATTTCCCGAGCAAATAGCCCACTAATTTCCCGGATCAGAAATAGCGGGCTATTTGACCAACTCGGGCTGATGAGGACAGGCCTATAGGATGTAATTTCACTCTACATGTTAGTAGGAGGGTTCAGCTGAATTTCAGGGCAATCATGTTAGCCTACATCAAGAACTCTTCCATGTAACATTCAGATTTAAGAGACATGGATGAGGAGCTGTAAACAAAACTCTTCCACATTTAACATTAAAGGGATCGTTTAATAATGTTAAATCTGAGATGCACGGCCCTACGTGTTATCAGTGTCTGTGATTTGGTGTTAGATTGAAGCCATAAAAAAATTGCGCTTCTAAATGATCATGAAGTGCCTCCAAAAAGTAAAAACCTCTGAGTGACCGGTTTTACCATACTCGTTTTCCACAATAGACTGTAGTGTTATGAAAACCATTTGGCAAATGCAAAATTTGATTTTGATTTTCAATCATAAATATGTTGATAATCAGACAGGCGATTGGCTTGTAAAAGTCATGGGGTACCTGACTGACTTAAAGGTTTACAATTACCATTGCAGCATGAGCTAAATCAAGGATTTTTTAAAAGGATCTAAAATGAAGTTACCGGATCCCTTTAAGAGACGTATAGTTACAGAGCAGTAAAAAGAACCACAAATACGTGGGTGTAATAAGGAATGTATAGCTCATGAAGCAACAAACCTTAAAACGTCTTCTTTTTTGTTAACAGAAAGAAAAAGCAAACATTGAACATTTGAAATAAGCTTTTGTGGTGAAATATCAATTTCATAAATGCAAATAAAAAAGATCTTGTGAAACAATGTTTTTCTATCAAACCATGGCAGAGCTTTTAGTTTGCGTAAAGCCTCTCTAAAGTGTTGGGAGCCCAACAAGTTTGATAGCAAACATCACTTCAATCGATAATGAATTGAAATAGGATATCGTTAAACACCGACTTCTGCAAGGATTTTTCAGAATAAATGTGTTTGAAGATGAATATTGATAAAATAATGAACAAGGTACATACTTGAGGTTTTCTGCATACAACACAAAACCTAAGTTTGTTATTCTTTCACCAATATTCGTCTTCAAACGCGTTTGTTTTGAAAATCCTTGCAGAGCTGAGTGTTATATGACATCCTCTTTCACATCATTACACAATTTAAGTGAAGTTTTGCCATCAAATTTGTTAGCGAATTTGGGGCTCCTAACACTTTAGAGGGGCTTCAAGGCACAAGTTATATCTCATTTAGGTATTAACAGAAAGACACTCACAATTCTTTTCATCAGTCTTGGTTTTCAATCAATGTTCATGAATCATGCAACAAATGAAGGCTATCATGCGTTTATAAGCTGATTGAACAAAATCTCAAAAACAGCCTTCCATGGTTATAAACATTTCAATCTGTTATGATAGTCATAATTGATTGAATCATCAATGAACCAAAATACATATTGGTGTCGGGGTGACCAATAAATCCTTCCTGACTATGTTTGTTTTCTAATTAAATCCAACCATTCCCAAGCACATGTAGAGATTATTCTTTCATAAGTGAATCCAAAACAATCAGGAAATCTATGAAATTTCTTCTCATTAATTTTCTCTTCTACTAGCACTATGCTTTAAAGAGAAGGTTGAGTTCTGGGAAAAGGTAAAAAAATAATTTGTGAGCGTTATCAATGTTATTATGCAAGGGTGGAAGAACATCAGATTAAACATGTTTCCTGAAAAGCATGGCTCTTCAAATGCCTTCATATTCTAAATACGACATGAAACATCGTAAAAATTGGGGGGGGGGGAGGGGGGTAGGTTTTTTTCGCCATGTGCTCGTGCAGTCCCATATGCATCATTCTGTGTACAGTGCTTGTAACTTTGCCAAGATTTGGCCAAATTCTTATCATTTTGATGATTCCAGACCCTTGCAATACACACAAATACTTATATACTAGATGATCAACCTTTTCTGATAGATTCCACACTGTTTTTTTCACAATGCAATCACGTGACTAGAACTTAACTTTATCTTTAAGTAGTCCAGTGAATTGCTTCAGGTTTAGTAAGATATTGTGTTTTGTCTTCACATTGTTGTAACATGCCTTTGAACACAGCCCTATATATTCACATTCTTATTGGCGCTATTTGAATTTTGTCAAAAGTTTTTACTCCAGTTTAAAAAAAAAAATTAATCTCAAGTTATTCCTTAGTTTCACGTTGTACTATTGTACTAAGCCTTACTGGGAACTACGCCATACAAGTTTTTATAAACTCCAGAGAGGAACCATGTTTGCCTCAAAGGAGGCTTTGACATTTTTACAAGATTGCAAGGATGTTTAGGAATTGACAAGAAAATACAAGAGAGAAGACCAATTATCAAGATTTCAATTTCATGAATTTAATCATGTTAATGACATAATGTCAACATCGCCTGTGGGGGAATTCCCTATGCACTGACTCCCATGTGTTGATGTGCCTATAGGGGACTTCCCTCTCTACCAAGTCACATGTGATGCTGCTGCTGATGATGATGATGATGATGATGTGCCTATAGGGGAAACTCCCTAATCACCAAGTCCCATAGGATGATGTGCCTATAGGGGGAATTCCCTGTTATTTGAGTCCCATGTGGATGTACATGTACTTTCAATGCTTGATTTGAGGACAATTGAATTCATTGGATTATTTGAAATGCCATTAGCGTTGTATAAATCTATGTTTGCTTTGTAAGGGGTTTAATGAACTTCAGTCTACTTGAAGCAGAATGATGAAAGGCATATATCAAATGAGGAGAGAAAAAAGAAATAATCTATACATTTAGTAGGAGAATGAAAAATGAGAATAGGCAAAGAAGAAGGATAAGGAGTTACATGTGAGAATGGAAAGAGTGAAGGAAATATGGATAATGAAGAAGCAGAGGAAGATGGTGTATATTAGATTATTAGGAGGTGTCCTGGGCCCCATTTCACAAAACTTGTGATCAGTGACAAATGATAGATTTGTTACAAGCTAGTGAAATCCTTGCTTCTGATCGGTTATCAGCAGATTTGTCACTGATTTTTTGTTGTCATTTGTCATTGACAAAAAATCTTTGTGAAACTGGACCCTGGTATAGTGGTTCAGTCATTTGATTCACTTGAATCTCAATCCAAGGGTAGAATCTCAGCCCGGTACTAATGTACTTTGGCAAGACATTAATCCACACTCCACCCAGGCACCCAGTTATGAATAGGTACCTGGGCCGCCATTTGCTGGGATAATACTAATTGCAGGGCCCTTGGGAAGAACAGCATGAAAGCTGATGAGGGTTTCCTGAGTAGTCTGATTTTGGTTCTATGACAAACATGTTGATGACAATTGCTACTTGGCAAATTTCCTATACCCTACCGAATTCCTGACATCAACTCTGGATAAAACATTCTGCTGAAACCTAACCCCAACCTTAACCTTAACCCTAGCCCTAACCCTAAGTCTAGCCCAATGTCTTTAAGAAAATAAGGCCTGAAACAAATGCTAGATTTTGGAAAACCACCCATCATCTTGGTTGATGATCTTAATAACGTTTCTATTTACTGATGATACTTTCTTGTCTTCCATTATAACAGATCTATCTGAGATCGTGGGCCAAGGACTTGGGTGTACCTATCGTCTCTATAGACTACTCTCTGGCTCCTGAACAACCCTTCCCTAGAGCCTTTGAAGAATGCTTCTTTGCCTACGCCTGGGCTGTCAAGAATGCACCTTATCTTGGTAAGATTTGTTATCATTAACTTCTCTTGTTTAATTTGTGTGCTGCTGGTTGATCCTTCAAATGATCTGAAATGTACCTTATTTATAGTCATTGGTTTTGTCTGCTTAGTCATGTGTATTATTTCTTATGAAGATCAGCCTTTATGTATTAAAAAAAAACATTGGATTCTCTCGGCTTGCTCAGAGTTCTCACAAAGGTAAATGAGCTACGATCAAGTTGTATGTATTACAAGATTGACCTTACTTGGAATTACACAAAAATTGTTTATAGTTTGTGGTCAAGTGCACTACTGTACCTGAAAGCGTCCGCACATGTATGAGAGGACTGGCAATACTTCAAATTAATTTTCAAGTTATTTGTTGTGTTAACATTGTAGGGTCTTGTCATTCATTGTCTTTATATTCAACATTCATTTTGTTTATTCTGTTGGATCAAATTACTTTAAAAAAAATCAATCTCAAGTTATTCCTTTCACGTTGTACGATCAAAATGTTTTTGTGTGTTTGTTATTTCCTAGGATCGACAGGAGAGCACATCTGCCTGGCAGGAGACAGTTCTGGTGGTAACCTCTGCACAGCTGTAGCTATGAGGGCAGCATCCTACGGTATCCAGGTACCCGATGGAATCGTCACCATGTACACACCCTTCGCGGTGCATCACTCCGCATCCCCATCCAGACTACTGTGCCTTCTAGATCCTCTCTTGCCGTTTGGGGTTCTGATGCGATGCCTCTCGGCTTACGTTGATCTCAAGGAAGAGTTCATGACGGAGGAGAAGGTGACGTCCATGGTGGACAACGCCAACGACCGCATCCTGGGATCCCCGAAGAGGTCTTCCATGAAGTCAGGTGAAGGTTCACCGGTCGTTGGAGAGAAAGAAGAGAAGAAGGTTGAAGAGGAGGAGAACGGTAACAGTACTAAAGTGGCCACGCCTACGACGACGAAGGAGGGACTCAACGGTGACATAATCAGTGACATCATCGTGCCACCATCATCAGACAGCGTCTCTTCGTTCATGGAGGAGGTACCTCCAACAGACATTGAGAAGTTAGAGCAAGTCAGTGATGCCATTGACAATGCAACGATAGGTCAAGGTGACGGTCAAACAGACACCAATGGTGAGCAGTCCAGTCCTGAAGCCATCGCCATCTTTGACCCTTCTCATCCTCCCAATACAGCTGATCATCCAAACAGTCTTCCTGCAGACATTGACGCCATCTCGTTGGACTCCAAACCTGAAGCGGATCGTGAGGAGGAGGACGAGGAGGACTCCGTGCCTCTATCACCAAAGAGCAGAGAAGATCTTCACCTTGATCTCAAAGAAGAAGGATTAGCAGGAGATGAAGAAGTCCAGACACCCACGTCCTTTGTGAATTCCCCCATCAGGGTGTTTAAGGACGCCCCTATCATGAGGAATCCTTACGTGTCGCCTCTCTTCTCCGATGAAGAACTTCTCAAGGGCCTTCCTCCCGTCCACATTATCGTAAGTCACTTCCTTTCTTAACCACTTATACGGTGCCATGTCTTTGGACAGTTGCCATTTAACCTTCAAGAATTAAGATATGACTACTACTGCTGCCATTGCTGCTGCAGCCTCTGCTGCTTTTGTTTACCTTGTGAAGCCTGATCAGTGCTGTGAGTCCTGAGAGAGTGAAGGAACCACCATACTAAGCCACACAAACTGGAAGTCAAAGGGCTTTGCCAAGATGCTTTTACTTTCTGCAGATTGTAATTAAGTTATTGCACAAAGCTATCCTTATCCAATTTATTTTCTATCTATTTTCCTCATTTCTTCTGACAATACACTGTCTGATTGCCTATATCTGAGAGGCATTGTCTGTCAAGTGAGAGACACTTTGGCTGCCTACTTAGGCAAGAACATTTCTATAGGGCCAATATTGAATTGAGATGGAAGTGGGGAGGATAAAGGCAGGACTTGTAAGTAAAACAGCATCTTGCGTTAGGGTCACTTACATCACAGATGATGCTCCTCACCAATGTGCAATTAAAAAACTATTGTTTAAAAAGAATTGAAGGAATTAGATGGTACTTGACTTGCATGTAAGTGCCTAATAGTAATAAATAGAGTCTCTGGTCATAGTTAATGCTTCTCACAAATGTGCAATGAAAACTAGTCCTTTATCAAACAGAATGAAGAAAGTATAGGTACTCTCAAATTGAATTGCACAAAATAATTACTTTTCTTTGATATTTGTGCAGATGGCATTATGTTAACAAGTTCCATTGAAATACAAGTACCTTTCACTGAAATAAAACATGAAAATATGTTCATGAAGTTTTTAGAAAAACACTAAAGGATTTCATAATTAGTCCTGGCTGCGAGAAAAAGAAGAAAGGATCTGTATACTACAGTACTACGATAGGTGATCGAGCATTTGCTTGTGCAGCCCCAAAACTCTGGAATAACTTGCCATTTGAAGTCAGGAAATCACCATCTGTAAATGTCTTTAAATCGAAACTGATCACACATCTTTTTAATTAACTGTAAATCTAAGCATATCAGGGTCTCTTGTAGCACAGTAGAATATATACTTAATGTTGGATAGTTTCTGTGCACTATAAATGTATTATTATTATTATTTGATCTTGTTTTAATGATTCTCCTTTTCTTTGTGTATCTCACAGGGTTGTGCTTTAGATCCGCTGCTAGATGATTCTATCAGCTTTGCTAAGAAGCTTCGTGGTATGGGCAAGCCTGTGTTCTTAGAGATAGTCAATCAGCTTCCTCATGGCTTTCTCAACTTCTCAACGGTCGGTAAGGAGTGCAAGGAGGCCTCCATGGTGTGTGTGAGACATATCATGCATGTACTCTACGGTTTCCAGGACAACGATTTTGAGAATTTAGGCGACTAATTTCAAATAGCTAGTGGAGCTACAAATCCAGAGAAAATGTCAAAAAGTCATTCTAAATTGTTTATCATGATGTGTTAGCGTGTGTTGTTTTGATTAGATAAATGTAAACAAAAGTGTAAAAACCTCACTGACAATTGTCATACGGTGGATTCACTAACACAGATATGCCTGAATGGGACTATGTATTCTATTGCTGGCCACAAGTAGACTGATTTATCAATCTTTCTTTGCTTATCACTGAGCTACTGTAGGAAACATATTATTATTATATATATTTTTTTCGTGGGGGGGGGGGGGGAGAGAATGTGAGGGTTAGTATACCATATGTGAACAAGTGTTTGCTGTAATTGAGTAAGATGGGGTATTAAACACATAGGCATAAGAGCCATGGGAAGGCCAGTTCACATCCATAGTTCTCATTGTACAAGATTTAAGCTGAGACACGCTTAAACCTGTAAGTTAGTCAAACACAACCTCCTTGTGCTATAAAAGCCAATGGTATTCAAGGTTTCATCTAATTTGTTGAATTAGAGATTATGATTGGCTAATTACAATCAAGTTTCCTTAATCACCAATTGAATGAGTGGCTTTGGCCAATCAAAATTGGTGTTTCTTGTGATTTATCAAATGAAGGATTCTGATTGACCAATCAAAATGGATTTTTGGTGTGACTGGTTGAAAGAGAGACTCTGATTGGCCATTCAAAATGGATGCTCCTTTTAAGTGACCAATCAGCAGAGGTTTCATGAGACTTACATGAAGTGGAGCTTTGTCAATTTGTAATTTGAGTTTAATCATAACTCAAAAATCTTTAACTTTCAGATTATCGTTAATTGTACATTTAGCATTGACCTCACTGCCTTGGCAGCATTTTTCTCTCATCTGAGCAATGTTATAGAGTCCCTTTAAGCACGATGGGGGTATCAAATATTTCTCAAATTTAGAATTTAAATGCAAGGAAAACTTCTTCTACTGTCCTTTTACGTAAAAATATTTGAAAGTTTACCCCAGTAATGAGGTGCTGCTCCCTTAACCCCCATTTAATCTTCCTCCTTTTGGGGCACACTGCACACACACACACATATGATTGGTTTTATACTGTACATTGGATATTACTCAGAAGCATATAAAAAGGATGAATTTGCTAAGCAATACAGCTTAGCCTTTGTGGATAGATTTATTATCTTATTTGATATGTAGACATTGTAGATGAGAATCAATATCACTTTATTACAGCTGCCTTGATTATATTTATTTTTTCTCAAGTTTGAAATAAAGACAAATATTTTATATATTTATGCATGCAAGAAAATATTTCTGAATGATACAGTCTGTAATTCTATAATATATTCATACTTTTACATGCTGTTTTTCTGTATAATTTGGTTCTGTGAGCTTAAGCTCTGTAAATTTCATTTTGTTGATTTGTATTAAGAGATGCAAGTATATAATGTATTCTGTTTGAACTTTTGATGATATTTGGGAACGTTTCAATATCTTTTGCAATGTTGTGTTTTGCATATGAAGCACATACTACTGTGTTCTATTTTTTGGGAGATTTTCTTATTTATTGCCTTAAACCGTGAGCATTTGGTGTACATGTTTATTTTTTTACAAGCAATTATGTTATTCTCATGAATTTATGATTGGCAATATGATTAAAGGCAAAATATTTTTGTAAATGGACCATTTTCAAAATGTATTCGAAAAGCGCCTCAGTACAAACCCTCAAGAAAGATTACCGAGAGTCCTTTTCAGGACTCCCCAATCCTCCCTCTCTCTCATATGGTGCACCCGCAAGCCTACTGTATATTCAAACTTATACACAATTTCTTCAAAACAAGCTATTACATTCACCTGTATATTATTATCTCAAAAGTCAGAACGCAAATTGCATTATTTAGTTGTTGCTAGGCCGGACACATATTTTGGCTTGCCCTACCTAGCAACACATACTGCATCCAGTTTGCATTCTGACTATTGTAACTGGTGAATAAATAGTTTGTACTGAGGCGCTTGAGAAAGATGTACACGTATACATGCATTACATTTGGTAACATTGTGAAAATGGTCTATTCAAACATTTTCAAATGTTGAAACATTTTATTTACAGATGTGTCTTCTTCTTTGTGTTAAATTCTGTTCAATAAGAGACCTTTGCCGGTATGACTCTGCGTTATAAAGGTATATACAGTATGTTTACAAAAATGATGTTGATCTGAGGATAAAAATGGCTATTGTGGATAGTTTTGCATAAGTTCTTTGAGACGTTGAAAACTGAAGTACTTGCAACATTTTCCATGTCTTAGACGTGAATTGAACAATTGTCACAGGTAAAAAATTTCCTAAGATGCGTCAGAAATAATTCATTCACAAGATATACACCATTTTAATGAATTTGTTAAACAAAAATATATATTTCATTCATAAAAACTCACTTCCCCCCTCTTTGAGGAACAGTTTATTATAGGATTTCTTTTTCTGTTTGTTCATTCCAAGCATTGGAAGTTTGTAATAGACTTTGTGGTATGATTTGTAACCCCTCCCATGCCTTGCATGGCAAACCCACCCAAGAATAAGAGGGTTCAACATTTTACCTGGACTCAGATTGGCAACAAATTCTTTCTAAAAAAAAACACGAAACCGTCATAAGAACAAGTTCATCAATATCTTATTAAAACTCATATTTACTGTCAAACATGCTTTTCAGTGGGTTGTTGGCAAAAATGTACTCATGAAAAGATGCCTGGCTCCCTCCATTGTACATTATATTCTAATGTTTTTTATTTATCAGCAATTAACAGATAACATTTTCACTCAAAGTTCGTATATGAAACTTAGTTCGTTTATTAAAAAAATGCTTGAAATCTTGATTTATGGAAGGGTTAAAACCTGGAGTCATTCTAAATCATAGTACACCCTGTCACATATGCATGTACAGGGAGCACGATACACTAGTGTGTACCCATTTGTAAATATTTCATGCACAACTTATGAGTTACATTAAATTTATCTAGTACTTAAGATATTTATGATTTACAATTGCTCACCATAATGTTTATCCATGTATTTGCTATTGGACACATGCGTTACAATTACACGGGAAATGGGTAGGGAGGGGTAGGGGAGGGAGGGGGAGGGGGTAGGGAGAGTGTGCTGATTGAATTGCACATGCTACACTGTTTTTTCTTCTAGTTTGTGTTTTTTTTTGCTAATGATTTTTTTTGTTTTGATTTTACAGCACCTGCAATTTTGTTTTTGATGAAGAAATTAACCTGCAAGTATTCAGAGATGAAAAGCATTAAAGATGATGATGATGTACATGTTTACTGATTGAAATGAATGATGTATCGTCTGTTTGGAGCCAGAAGGCTGTTAACTCACATCCTTTCACACAGAGTTAAGACCCTTCTTGCTCCGAACAGGTGATGTCATGCTCTAACAAACCACCTTGCATTGAATAGTTAGAATAGATGCCTTTAAGCCCCACTGTCTAACTTGTAGCTACATGTGCTCCCTCTATATAGCAACCAATGCCTAATCGGTGACCATTGGTCCCCCATGATCCTCTTTTTCTTATGTTAATTGAGAGCTGAGTTGATGAGATAACCACCTGTCAGTGACCTTGCAGGGAGGTCTAATCCCTCCTGGCCAAACTAGTGCAGCCGGCCTTTAATGTATGAACTGAATATATTGTCAGTTCAGAGCCAGTAGGGGGTTTACTCAGTGTGTAAGTGCATGAGTTAATGCCCTTCTCGATTCAAACAGACGATTCATCTCTTAAGATATTTCTCTTCTAAAATCATAAAATACACAATTTTTAGTTGAAGTGAACACGAAGTGCAAATCAGTTGGAATGTATTCCATCTGATCATATGGGAATTCCAGTTAGCTAGAAGGAAAGCAGAAAAATAAGAGAGATAGATGAAAGTTAGAATCAAATTAGATAAAGAAGACAGTTAGGAACGTTTGAGAATTGAGATCACATGGAAAACTGAACTTTGATAATGGCTTTGTCATTCAACTGTGACATTTTAGGGGGAAACCAATCCTTTTGTTCTACACCGAGTTATCAGTAATGTCCCCCTTTTCTTCTTCTCTTAATTACCTTTTCCATCGGAGCTGTATGATGTTTTTACAGGTCCTCTAATAAATTAAAATTAAAAAAACATAATTAATGACGAAAAAGTATATAGGTATATATTTTAGTAATTGTATGTATTACAATTACTTGAAAAGTTGGCAAACAAACATCACAGGAATATTTGTAATTTGCCATTTTGATATTTTGTGAATTTTAACTTCAAAAAGTCTTATTAATTTTGATTCATCTGGGTTTGTTTGAACTTTCTCAAATTTGTTCCACTCAATTCTGTGCATTATTCAATGCAATTTTGAACTTACTTTGTCAACTATTTATATAGTGCAAACAATTGATATATAAAATGGAATATATTCAAATCAATCAATCGATCAATGTCATATCTGAAGATTGGAATGCTGTGATAGTGCAGCAGATACTTACTTTCTATTCTTTTAAGAAGTACAAAACTGAAAGTGAAGTGAGTTAATGATTATGATTTCCGATGTAAATTCTAGAAGCTGCAATTATCACAAATGATTGTTTAATGATGACTGATACTATTAAACATTTGTGGTATCTTATGGTCTATATTTGATGGGTGTGTTTCCACCGAGGCATTATATTCAGTGCGTTAACACTAATGAGTAGCCAGCTTCTCCACACAATGCCTTTTATTTTTCTTACAGAATGCATGCAGCCCTCAGATAGTGTGAACACTCTGTACATGTAGAGGTAGCATGGCAACATGGGATTAAATTAGATCAGTGTAAACACACCCAATCACACGGATCAGTGTTTCGATATGTACAGTGTATATACCCATTTGTCTTTCTTTGATTGTGATGTGATTGTACACGCAGTAGAACGATTCATCTACTGGCTGTCAATGGAGTATTATATCAGATGTGAACAGGGCTATATTGTTTCTAAGCCTAATGTGAATGAAGCTGTGTTCCCACTGTCAGTAACCTCATATATTTGCCATTGCAAAGATCCACAGCTTGGAGCCAGAAGGGCGTTAACCTTGTGTTATAGTATATGGGTTAATATCGTTCTGGCTCCAAACAGACTAGATGCAATGTACAGTTAACAACTAAGTTATTCTGTATTTCTAAAGAATGTGAAAAATTGATTTGTCCAGATTTATTCTTCTTGAGAATGTAACATACATCTTAAATTTTTCAACAAATACATGTAGGCCATTTTCGTAATGTAACCAAATTTTATGCATAAGCCTTTGTGAAGTGCCTCAATACAAATTATTTCATTCACCTGATAAGAATAATAGCATTTCAATAGTCAGAATGCAAACTGCATATATCAAGTGTTGCTAGGTAGGTCAAGCCATAATGTTTGTCCTACCTGGCAACAACTATTGTATGCAGATCAGATTCTGTCTATTGAAATATTATTCTTCTTATCAAGTGAATGAAATCATTTGTATTGAGGCACTTCACAAAGACTTATGCATTAAATTTGGTTACATTACGAAAATGGCCTATTAGTTGCTAACTGTATATGTGTCATCAACATTCGTTTGGATGGTAGAAATACTTCATAACAATCCAATACCCTTATCAATGATCGATCAACTACAAGTATTCTCAACTGTTTACTGGCAGTGGGAATACATCATGAAATATTCAATAAAATGAATACAAGCCTACTCTCACCTCTCCCTACTTGAGATTGCCCAAACTATTATCATTCCATAGAGCCTGTACCCATAGCAACGATTTTCATTCATGGTATGGATGAATGTGGTCTGTTGATGATGCACAGCCAAATCTATCTAGCAGTAAGAGCCTTTCTAAACCCTAGTCATTCTGGCAAGACCAGTGTCTGATAGTCAGTAGACTGAACAAGGAAAATGGCATTCCCCTCAATTACCCTGATTCTCCCTGATTCTCCCTGATTCTCCCTGATTCTCCCTGATTCTCCCTGATTCTCCCTGATTCTCCCTGATTCTCCCTGATTCTCCCTGATTCTCCCTGATTCTCCCTGATTCTCCCTGATTCTCCCTGATTCTCCCTGATTCTGTCGATTTGTTGTTCCCCATACTCCAGAGGGCATTCAGAATTTGTACGCGCTGGCGGACTGTGCTATAGCTGCCTATTGACACCAACAGAATACGGCTCTTACGCAGATGGCATGTTCCGATAACTACATTGGCGGGAACGTGCCCCTTTAAGGCGAGTTTAGATATGTTGCAGTAAACCGCCACAAAAAAAGGTGACACATTTTTACATGTAAATGAACGGCAACTGCAGATATTCACTTTGATAGCTCCATGTTACATAATACAGAAATGTTATTCTTTTGGGCAATTAAGCATAACACTTTTGGAATTAGAATTCAATCCCAAGATTGAATGAATGTATTAAGCAGGGAGAGAGTGGTAGGTTTGTCTTTATACTTGATGGGAAGTGGGGGTTTCTTTTTTATTTCTTTTTCCTTGTCTGTTTTTTTTCTTCTTCAATCCAGATGAAATTATTGTCACTTGAATAAAAGTCACTGAATAAATTATGTTTATTTGTCATGTCATTTTGTTGTCTTGTGTCCAAGTCTTGCAACTTACACATGTGACCATGATCTTTGTTTTGAAATAATGCGTGTATAATTGTGAAGTACATCCGCTTCATGCAAGAGGTTTTGTTAAAACATATTTGCAATGATTATTGCTAGGATGCCTGTATGACTTAAAGGTAAAGACCAGTTTTGGAAGCGCCCCCTCTCAAAAAATGGAATGGAAGCTCGTATTACCACAATCATGTGAAAGAATATGTTTTGACTAATACATAATGATTATAATTTGCCGGGAAACTGCCTACTAATATATTTGGTAAATTAGTTTTTTCTATTTGGACGTGATAGATATAATGCATGTGTCGCGCACGTGTGCGTAGTCCCATATACATTTTTTTTGTGTACAGTGCTTGTATAACTTTACGAAGACTGGGCCAAATTTCTTATCATTTTGATGATTCCAGAACCTGCAGCTAGTACAAACCAATGCTTATATGCTAGATTATCAACCTTTTCTAATCGGTTCCACAACGTTTCTTTCACAATGCAATCGCATGACCAGAACTCAACCGTAACTTTAATATTGTTATCAAGAGAAAATCGAAATTCATGAGTTTTTGAAGTATAGAGCAATTACGTCAGAGTTGCCAATTTGTATTTGATTAATATCAACTTTCAAAAATTCTTTATCGGATTTAGCTCGAACTGTCATTGATCTGTTGCTCCCAAATAACATAATATGAAGGTGGACTTCCTCTTTGATAGCATCATTTACATTTGACACAGTAAATCACCTCAAACTGATTTAAAAAAAAAAGATTAAACAAGTGATCAGGCACATGCTTTGGCCACATTTTCTCCCTAGCTGGCTTAATTCGATTGGCATTGACGTCAGGCTTGACATCCAGGGTATAGGGTTTAAGGTTGGTGGTGGGTGGTGTTGAGAATTTGATCAGTGTAAAAAATTCACCCGAGCATGCTTTGTAAAAATGAAAACAGCTGCAGCAAATCTAGAAACACTTTAAAGCCCCACTGCACTACTTATATTTACTTGCGCCCTCTATACAGCCAACAATGCCCACGTGGTACCCGTTGATCCCCCATGATGC